GCTCAGGTTCACTAAATGATGTTAGATAAAACTTAGATTTTTAAGAATTGTTTATTGAATGTTGAATAGTCGGCATGTTGAACATTAACTAGGATTAATAAATGCGTAGGTACTAACTATGCATTGTTAGTTCATGTTAACTAGTACGGTCAACTAACGTCAATGAATAAAGTGTTAGAGTTGTTTTATAAAGTAAACACAAGCTTGTTTGGAAAGAGGTTTTCTGTTAATGTTGTTCGAGTGTTTCTGGTTAATGAAGATTCCCGCCTCTGAAGAGCTCCTTCGGCCCGTTTCCAGCACAAACACTCGCTCTAATTATAAATGTGACGAATCTGAGCAATTAGCCCCAATTACAGAGAATCTGCAGTCAGCAAGCAGAGAGACAGCATCACGAGGCGCTCCGAACGCGCCCCCGTATCTGTCCGTCTCTCTCTGTAATGTCTCTGTGATTGGCCGCTCTGATAGTCGGCCTCCAGTATCTGCATTCACTGCTGAGCAAGACCTCGCCGCTCAAACCAGACTCCTGATTGCCTGGCTTGGTGTGCCTGTTTACGCCGCTTTAAACGCTGAATTATGATGTTTTGAAGATGTTTAAATGCATTAAGGCAATGAGCCAGTGCTTGATGCCGTCATGATGGAGTGAGTTCATTCCGCTGTGTGTGTGTGTGTGCGTGCGTGTGTGCGCCTGTATGTGTGTGTGTGTGTGTGTGCGCGTGTGTGTGAGTGTGTGTGTGTGTGTGTGTGTGTGTGTGTGTGTGTGTGTGTGAGTGTGTGTGTGTGTGTGTGCGCGTGTGTGTGAGTGTGTGTGTGTGTGTGTGTGTGTGCGCCTGTGCGTGTGTGCGCCTGTGCATGTGTGTGTGTGTGTGTGTGTTAAACTAAACATTTACCCAGTGGTTCTGAGCACATATTTCAAAGTTAAGAAGCAGGTTTATTTTTCTTTAAAGAAAAAAAAGTATTTTGCACATGCATCTCGCAGAGTCTCTTAAATGTAATGCATGTATTTGAGATGTTTAAGACTGTGAGCCAACCATTCGGTCGTGCATAATTTAAAGCAATGTCACTTGACTTTTTTTTTTCCCTATTCCTTTTGATGTGTATAATTTTGCTTCCTTTGTAGATTATGAGCCTTGGTTACATAAATTTTTGATATTTGTGCATCTTTGTGTTTCGAGCAAAACTGAGATCATCAGAACCTTGCTTTGTCAGTTTGAGGAGGGACGGGTTTCTTGACGGTCTGTTGGGTTCTAAATGGGTAAATATTGGGTTTACTGTCTTTATCTGACTTATATTCTGTCTCTCTGACAGTTATGTGTTAAACAGCCGCTGGCTTATACGGCATTTCAGGCAAAGTTGTAGATAGGAGTCTCACAGAGGTCGGGTTTGATCGAGCTGCCTTGAGTCTGGTTTGTCCAACTCAACTGGCATTTTGGATGCAAATATTATGTACTGGAGACTGAAATAACTACTTTACTTTTGCATACAATGATGAAATATATAGCAAAAGTTGCCAGTGATAACATTGTCTGGTAGTCCAAGAACAATAAACAGTAGAAACAAGAAGCAACAATAACATCACATTAGCGAATTAACAGCGCTGCCATAAACACGTCTGAAATACTGTCCAACATATATTACTCTTTTCTCTCTTCAGCGCAGCTCTCGTTTTCCTCATCCCATCTTCTTCTGTGCTCTTTAACAGATGATGAGAGATGCCAGTGAGCTATTTCTTTAGGAGCGACTCTGAGAGCAGATCCATCACTGCCCCCTACAGACACACAACACAACTCGTCCAGGAGCACGACAGCAATGAGGGACTTTTTAATAGTCAGGCTTTGGACTGTCGACATAAATTCTGGTCTCTGCTTTTGGATATCTAGTGTACTTTCTGCTATAAGTGCGGCATGCACACATTTATGTCCTCCTTTCACTACATTATGCACCGTAGCTGCTCAAATTGGTACATTAATTTTCTGTTTTAAGACATTTGAAACAGCGGATTGACTGACGTAAATGATCGGATGAACTGTACTCATCATAACAGCAGTTATAAGAGATGAATCAATGTGTTGTGTTTATATAGCATGGCATTCAGAGCAACCCATGGGTAGACTTTGAACAAGCCTCATGCCACTTTCTGTGATTAATCTTGGATTTAGAAAAACGCTATGCTCATCAATGGAACACTATGTGTATCGCTATACTATATTCCTTTATGCAACAACGAATATATCAAACACTGTAACAAGACATGGCTTGTTTAGTTCAGCGAGTGGCGTGCAGTTGTAATCTTGGAAATAAATAATCATCATTTTGCTGTTTTAATCCAGTTTTGTGTTAAAACTTGGTGGTCTGACCAAATAACTCCTAGCTGTAAATCTCTGTGCAGTGCATTGTATTTTGGGATTGCATCTCTTGCCATGTGATGCACTGCACATGTTGGCAAATGCAGAAGTTCATCTGTGTAGATGTCCATAAAACACACAAGTGCTGCCATCTAGAGAGCAGATGCCAGTAAAACCTCCGCCGCAGTAAATACCAGACACAAACCTGTAGTAATAACATTAATTACTGTAAGGTGCGGCCACTGATCACAGTTCACAGTGTAGCGGATCAAACCTCTGACTACAAAATAAAGAAAGCTAGAGTCCCACATTCACAGCCTTCCTTTAGTATGCGGAAATATGAAACCATAAAGACTTTTAGTGAACAGAAATTAACAGAGTGGGGCTGAAATTATTTTGGAAGATTTTATTTTTAATTTTATATTTAGTCGATATAGTGTACACTTAATATATAGTACAAGCTCAAACTTGAAGTCGTGATGGATTTGTTTCAGCTTTTGTCTTCTCCAGATGTTAACTGATGGACTGGAGTGCTGTGGATTACTTGTGGATTATTGTGATGTTTTTATCAGCTGTTTGGACTCTCATTCTGACGGCACCCATTCACTGCAGAGCATCCATTGCTGAGACACTGATGCAATGCTACATTTCTCCAAACCTGATGAAGAAACAAACTCATCCTGATCTCAGATGAACTGAGTGTGAACACATTTTCAGCAAATTATGTGGTTTTGGATGCAGCGTATCGACTTTTTAGAGACTCTTTGTTTAATATGTTATTATATGATATAGTTGTTTACTTGTGAAAATAAACAAACACACTTGTCAGTTGGGGATTTTTTAAGTGCGGTCATTGAGAAAGGCTAATATTTCTAGAAAGATATTTCAGCTGTAATGAGACTTAGCTGACGGCAGATGGCGTCCTTCAAACGGCGAGACTGGTTTCTCGTATTGAATAAACGTTTAAGGAGTTGTTTGATTGTCGGTCTTTAAAAAAAAGTATAATAATCTATACTACATCTACAATAGGAGTATAAAGCCATGAAAAAGTCACTTAAAAGAGAAGTAACAAAAGTACTAATAGAAGTGGAGAAAAAGCATTATGTATTTTTCCCTTGACTGTCTGCGTTAGTTTACTTTTGTTTTTTAATAAAATGCAGGTTTGTCAAAACACGTTATATCAAACTTCCTCAATCTTGGACAGCAGCTCTTTGTGTGGGAATATGGGTGGCTCTCAAAAGCCTTTGCCTCTTCTAGACATGTCTAATAATTCTTGTCTGTCAGCGAAAAACTACAACGAGAATAATAGGCAAGAACAGAGGGGGGCCTTTTACACTTGCTTAAAGGACGTAAGAGAAACCAGGGCGGCGTATTATATAACAGATCAGTAGTATTAAGCGCAAATGCACATTTTTAATTTGACAGAATTGAATGTTTGTAGAACAAAATTCCAAACAGAATTAATTTAATACAAAAGAGCAAGTTCATGTAAGCAAACATCAACTTTTCTACCAACTTTGAAAATATGGCTTATTCTGTTTGGGCTATGCAAGTTTACCAAAACACATTCTATTTTTAATTCTGAAACTTAACTAAAACAAAACAAAGAACGTCATCTAACAAACCCAGAAAGCACAAACCCGATGGAGAAGTTACTTACTAGAACAAACCGGTGTCAGGATGAACCTGCTTCAGCACTTTGTAGACGTAGATGGCATAGCTCTCCTTCCTGGTCTTTCTGCGCTTCTTTCCTCCCTTCACTGCGGTCTTAGTGACGGCCTTCTTTGAGCCCTTCTTAGGAGCAGACTTCGCTGGTTCAGGCATGATGCTGCTGACGAAACAATGATTAAAAATAAACGGACAGAGCCGTTTATATTGACTAGCCTATGCTAATTTACACAGAGATGTGTAACCTTCTGATTGCGTGTTTCCACAGACCAAACCCATAAACTCGACTGTGATTGGACAACTCCTAGTACCACTAGCGGAGTGAGGGCCAATCACAGGCGGTGAAATGATAGCTCCGCCCACCGCTCCATGTTTCAACGACATCAGCCCACATGACTAAGCTTCTTTTGTTTTAATTCCCGCTTTTTTGTTGGTCATTCCATTCAAGAAAACAAATTGATCTCAAATATCATAGTGTAATTTTTAAAATCCTTATAGACCCATTGAGAGAATTTAGAGAAAAGAGAGCAATACTGATTAGACACTTTATTTTCCTCTGCTGTCCTGCCAATTTCACTTCTGCTATAATTTAAGTATCACTGCCACCTGACTGGGTTATCCCTTTATTTTATTGAATGACTTAAATTCAAAGAAACAGCTAAATAAGCGAAACAAAACGCAGTGTAAGACAAAAAAGACATGCTCTCATTGTGAAGAAAACATTACGTTATACGGGCTCCAACTTTGAGAATCAGTATCAAAATCAGAATGAAAAAAAGCTTTATTCCCAGGCATGTTTTCAGATAGGAGGAATTTATTTTGGTAATAAAAGCTTAAGGCTTTTAAAATAAATAATCAGTTTTCGGCTCAAAGTTATGAAAACACCTGTATTCCTAGTTTCACTTTTTAAAACATGTTTCACAAATATTATTTGTCAACGTCCACCTTAAAACATGAAACAGCAACATGAACTCTTTCTGCGAGAGTGTGTGTGGCTCTTAAAAGAGCCGTTGGGGTTGTTCTCCTGATTGAAGGAGTTTATCCTCCGAAGCCGTACAAGGTGCGTCCCTGTCGCTTCAGCGCGTACACCACGTCCATGGCGGTGACGGTCTTTCTCTTGGCGTGCTCGGTGTAGGTGACGGCGTCGCGGATCACGTTCTCCAGGAACACCTTCAGCACACCGCGGGTCTCCTCGTAGATCAGACCGGAGATGCGCTTGACGCCGCCGCGGCGCGCCAGACGACGAATAGCGGGTTTGGTGATTCCCTGGATGTTATCCCGCAGCACTTTACGGTGCCGCTTAGCGCCTCCTTTCCCGAGTCCTTTACCGCCTTTGCCTCTTCCAGACATAACTAAGCTTTCTGTTTCAATCAAGCGACGAAAAAGAATATGGCGTAAGAGTTCCAGGGAGGCATTTTACAGTTGCTTACAGGACCTAACTGAAACCAGCTCCGCGTCACATGACTCACCCCTCCCCCTCTAGTTCCAGCACGAAACAATGTAGTTTAACCCCAACCCTGATCGTCTGTACTTTGTTTCGTATTAATCCACGTTTTAAGATTCCTTTGACAAAGATTAGTAAAATCATATAAACATTTACACACACACGCTTTGACTTCCACATCACGCGCACCAAAGTAAACGAAGAGCTACAGATGTCATATTAAACATTAAAATCTGTGGTTCTCAATTCCCCCATAAATAAACATGTTATAACGAAGTTACCTCTATTTATACATTAGTCGCATAAAACACTTGACGCATTTAGCAGAATAATCAGTTTTCGGCTCAAAGTTATGAAAACACCTGTATTCCTAATTTCACTGTTTAAAACGTTTCACAAATATTATTTGTCAACGTCCACCTTAAAACATAAAACAACATGAACTCTTTCTACGAGAGTGTGTGTGGCTCTTAAAAGAGCCGTTGGGGTTGTTTTCCTGATTGAAGGCGTTTATCCTCCGAAACCGTACAAGGTGCGTCCCTGTCGCTTCAGCGCGTACACCACGTCCATGGCGGTGACGGTCTTTCTCTAAATCTGTGGTTCTCAATTCCCCCATAAATAAACATGTTATAACGAAGTTACCTCTATTTATACATTAGTCGCATAAAACACTTGACGCATTTAGCAGATTAAAAACGACAATTTATAATAAATTAACTTCATATGCAAATACACTTAGCTGAATTATATACACAAGTATATTGGAAGTACGATGGTTTCTTTCAGTTTTAATTACTTATAGAAGTATCACTGAAACGGAATTAGTGATAAACTGGTTTTGCTTGTTTGTAACTTTTAAAGTAATGGCAACCTAAAATTGGTAAACTGAATAAAATTAAGACCCAGACAGAATTCTTAAACAAGTTAACACATAATTCGTACTCATTACATTCATCGCTACAGTGGAAACGGTCTCGTTCAGTGCGGTTTGTGTGGCTCTTAAAAGAGCCTTTGGGGAGCACCACAGCGGCGGGTTTAAGCGCGCTCTCCGCGGATGCGGCGGGCCAGCTGGATGTCTTTGGGCATGATGGTGACTCTCTTGGCGTGGATGGCGCACAGGTTGGTGTCCTCAAACAGACCGACCAAATAAGCCTCGCTGGCCTCCTGCAGGGCCATGACAGCGGAGCTCTGGAAGCGCAGGTCCGTCTTGAAATCCTGCGCGATTTCTCGCACCAAGCGCTGGAAAGGCAGTTTGCGGATCAGCAGCTCGGTGGACTTCTGATAGCGGCGGATCTCTCGGAGAGCCACGGTCCCGGGCCTGTAACGATGGGGCTTCTTGACGCCGCCGGTGGCTGGGGCGCTCTTCCGGGCAGCTTTAGTAGCGAGCTGCTTCCTCGGGGCTTTGCCGCCGGTGGATTTACGAGCGGTCTGCTTGGTTCTTGCCATCGCTAAAATATACTTCTTTCTGCGTTCAGCGTATGTTGAAAATGTTTTTTCACTGTTTTCTATCGTCTGCTTTTAAAGCATCAAACGGTCACGAGCTAATGATGTCATGGAAGTGCAGAGGCTTGTGATTGGCTGATGTGTGACGTCTGCTCATGACTGCTAGCCAATGACTGCGCAGCTTCTGTTTTCAAACAGGGCTGTATGTGTTTCCCGCTCAAAATGCTTTGTTCCGTTTATTACTTTACGCATAATTTTTTCACTCATTCACTCACTCACCTTTATTTCCAGAATCAAGGTCAATTATCAAAATACAAAACTAAGTACAATAACTTTAAAAAATACTTCCTCATTGGTGACTGATTTGACAACAACATTAAAACAGTATTCTGTGGATCATCCACCAGCAATTTTTTTTCAGCAGGATCCTCA